AATTCCATGAAATAAAGGAATGGATTTTGCCGCCGCTCTTCGGGCAACACTTGATCGTCGACATTATAAACCTGTGCGCCGACATTTTTCTTAGAACGAGTAGAACGGGTTTAGATGCTCGATGACACCCGCATTGCGACCGACCGCAAGGGATTTGTCGGAAAAGATTGGCCAAGCGGTAAGGCTTAGCTTTCCCAAAATGCCAATTTGAAATTAGGATCAGCGTCTCGTCAGCCGGTCCTTTAAAGTAGTACCGGACCTTAATGGAAGGCCATCAAAGCCACGGGGGCTGGAGCATCTAACAATTGGAGAATGCAAAATCTACACTCATTTCCGAAATAAGGGCCCAGTTTTGGAGAACCGGGCCGTGCAAGGAGAGCTCGAAGAGGACGCGCTTGAGCATCCTCTGGGCTATCGATTGCCTTTCTCCGAGCCAAGCTCAGCCGGCGGATCGGCTGACGGGTTGCAGCGCAGTCCATGTGCTAGCGCGTTAAACCTCGCGGCAAGGGTTCAGGCTAGCCTGCCGGAGGCGGTAGATGCCGCCTTTGCGCGCGAGAGGTCAAGCTCACCACCTGGAATGATGTTGAATGATGATGTTTCTGAACGGCCAAAGAGAGAGCGAATAACGCCAAGTAAAAGTGATGCGAACCTCGGCCCCAGAGCAGAAGCAGACAGCTCAGGGCCAGGCGTTTCAGCTATCCCGTTAAGCCGACAAGAAGGGCCTCAACGATCTAAACGCCGGCCGCCCGCTCAGCCGGAAGCACGTAACAACCTTAATTATCAAACTAGAGCGGTTCAGCCACGGGCAAAAGCCGGCCCCCCCTCCTCCTCCTTCGACAAAAACCGGGGGGGACGAAAATGGGAAGGGGCGGGGGGAGCGTGTGGGCGGGGGGGGTGGGGTTTTCTTTTTTTTAAGGGGGGGGGGGTTTTTTTTTTTTTGTTTTGTTGACCAACCATAATAAAATTATGTTAAAAAAAAAAAAACTTTAAAAAAAAAAAAAAAAAACTTTAAAAATTACGGAAAAAATTCCTCGGGGGCTCCGAAAAAAACTTTTTTAAAAAAAGGAAAAGGGTTTTTTTTTTTTTATTTTTTGGTCCGTTTCGAAGGGAGCGATGCAAAGCTACGCGAAAAAAGCAATTGTTGGAAGCTACAAGCATGACTTCAAACATGCGATTGTGCTGCGCGCATGAGAACGCCGTCCGAATCGATACGCGCATTGTGGTGTCCCTATAATAAATCGTTGCGAGATTTTATTGAATGCATTCAGGTTCAAATACAGCCAAAACCGAAAAAGACCAAATACAAGTAGAATACCATTTTTTGGATGAGCCTTCCTAAGAGACTAGATATTTTGACACGGAGCACGATTAAATTGTTGTTAAATTCAGCATAGTACTTGCAAGAGACAACGGCCGTGAAATTAAGGATTAAATGACGGTAGAAGCGACTGTTCTTGGGTTTCGCGGGTGGGAAGCGCCGAGTATCGCCCGGATCTCGGGGCCACCCGAAATGAGCTTTGACCATCGGACAGAGGGTAAATCAAATCCTACTGACCCCTATTGTCGGTGTTCCATTAGTATGAGAAATTTACTAAAAATAAAATCATATCTTCTAAAAAATGAGATTCAAACGCCCAAAAATTTCAGTTGGAACATGAAGCCTGAAGCCAAATACACGAACCGGCGACCGTATCTGGTCAGCGAGCCGTGTAGCTTGCTATCAGCGAATACGCACCCCTTGAGACGCAGGTGTTTTCTTTCGCAATCAGCTCTGCACAAGCTTCAGCTGAAAGTTAGAGGCTTCCGAGATTGAGGTGCTGATACCACGGCACGATGGTGACAGAAGATAACCCACCACCGTATTATCCACATGATTTCCCGCCAGGGTAGAGCCGAAAACTCGCGCTCACGCCAAAATCTACATCCATGGTGGCACGTATGTTGCCTTAATATGACTTTTACTATAATTTTGCTTCAGGTTTGACGTGCGAAAAGTGTACCACCATCAAAAATCATCGATCCATGACAGCAGGGGAAATCGGGCTCTTTTGCGCGAGCAAATGATCCACGGCATATTGAATCGCTTTGCTTGTGCTCATCTCTTGATGATGAGCGGAATGAGAACCGATGAACATGATGACTGGGTTTTCACTACCTTGGGCTTCCCATATATGCCGTATTCTTTGGAAGACGGTGTGTCCAATGAGAACGTAGAGACAGACTTTTGGGGCAGCGAAAGAGAGAGAGAGAGAGAGAGAGAGAGAGTGAGAGAGAGCGAGAGGGAGAAATCCGGAGGGAAAAGACTGGTGCCAAAGAATGGCTTAACTTTGTGTGCGAATCTTGCTTAAATCAAGCCAAGGTTTTTAGAGTAATAAATCACAAATCTCATTCGTAATTTAGTTCGAAGAAATCCGTGTCTGCATTACGCAGCTGCGGATGTGCTAGCCGGCGTCCAGCACATGCTAACAGGTCTCGCACACCTCCACAAATTTAGCATAATCCACCGAGATTTAAAGCTGGAAAAGTTGGCGCAGTTCCATTCTATAAAAGCAGCCGTTTAGCATTTTCTTGGATTTCCGCGGAATTGTGAAGATCGGTGATTTCAACATCTCGGTGGTGGAAATATGGAAGGATGAGGAAGAATTAACAATGACTGGGACGATAAGGTGCATGGATCCACGTGCTCTGGCGGATAAGACGGTAGAACGACTTTTGTACATTTGCTGTCAGTGATGGCTGTATTGACAAACTCATGGCGCTACCTCTTACAGATCGACTTCGCGGTTGACATGTGGGGCATCGCGGTGGCTACATGGGAGCTAGTTACACGAAGGTTAGCCGTTTAACCGGAAGCTTCTTGGTGCCCTTCAACGGGGACATTCAAAAGCATTGTTACGTTAGGCAATGCTTCATTGGAATCTCCCTGCCGGAACTCCTTGACTTTCATCGGCGTGGTGAATGGAAGATACCACCTCTCGAAGGAAACGATTTCATCGCCGATTTTATCCAGGCGTAGGTTTATTACCTATCAATTTCGCTAAAACCAACGCTTCGGAAATTTTCACATAGTATGAATTTTTAGCTGCTCGGCAACGCCAAGGTTCCGTAGGACCTCTGCCCAAATGCTAGAGCTAATTAACCTGGAAGCAAAGGAGGTATAAGCTTAATTACAAGAAAGTCATTTTCATCCTAGAATCCACAACTTTTCAAGACAAGCTTTGACGTCGTCCCGATCAAAAGCGAGCTACTTCTGCTGCCGGACGGTTTTGAACGTATTGGAATTCACAAGACGAGCATCTTTGCTTACTTCGAGGATAAAGGCCCAAATGCCCGCAACCAAGCCGTCCAATGCAAGTCTGAATCGAACGCTTCCATGAACCCCGAAGTGCCTTCGATTGCATCCGAGTCGGAACATGGCTCAGAGGACTCTCATGCTGCCATACTTAATTCACGCGGCTCGGCTTTGACAACCATACCGGCGGACCGGATTTTGGAGGTAAAGGAACATCATCGTCTGTCAGTTTCCACCCCCGACTGCAGCCAGGAAAGCTCATTTGCGTCGCTAATGGACCCTCCAAACATGGAAACAAACGGTGTGTTCCAGGCAACTCGCCAAACTCCCGAAGAACAAGCTTTTTACGCAGAAAACCCGAACAACGATGGTGAGAGGTCTGAAGCGAAGAAAAGGCCGCTCAACGGCTCACTGCATGAGTGCCGAAAGGTGTTCGTCACGTCACCAGAAGTGGTCCCCAGCGAGGAACTTAACAATACATTTGAAGAAGTAGGACCACCACAGTATACGTGGCTGCCATTCGTCGTCGATGAGGACGATATGTTGATTGATGGTATTGAGGATTGGACGGATACCCTGGTTTCTGAACCAGAAGAAACCACAACGAGAAGCCTTAGAGCTGGAGAAATCAACGAAACAATGGCCTCGAAGCTACCAGAAGTTTAGCAGAGTCTGTCCGCCCAGACAGCTCTTGAATTACGTGCAAGACACGGCGGAGCTACAATACGCGGTGCGGCGGAGGTTTTTTTTCGTGGGGGATATTATATTTCCCCCCGGCCCCCCCGGCGGCCCTTCGGGGGCCACGATAATCCCGGATTCCCCCCCCCCTCGGAGGGGGGGGGGGGGGTGGGGGGGGGGGGGGCAAAAAAAAAGGGGCCAGCGAAGCCCCGCGAAAGGGGGGGGTTTGGGCGCCGCACAAGGCGGGGGGGGGGGGCCCCGGCCCGAAGCGGAGGCTTTTGGGAGAGGACAAAGTCGCCAAGCAGGAGAGACTTTCGAAAACGTCCGAATTGGAGACTGATCGAAGGGGCAAAGCTGCCGAGGGCGGGCACCTCAAGGTGAAGAGGAATTTTGGTACTTCACGCAGAGCCGCGGCTAATGATGTCTTTATCCTGTACGTTCACGTCTTCTTCATGCACTTACTTCATCTCCGTGTAAAATTTTACTTTTCTACCGGTTTTGTTTACGGATATTCCTTTTCTTATGTGTGCATTACGCATTTATTTTTTATGGGCGTTATGAGCCGAATAAATCTCTGTTTTAGGCTATCATAAATTGTCCACAGCGTTGCTATGGCTTTTAGAAGATAGAAAAGTACGGAATTTTCAAAAAGACGAATTTTTGTACCAGTGAAAAATCAACGCTTGCAAAATCCTATTTTCGCATCTTTATTTGTGAATTTCATGCTCAAAATCATGTAATTAAAGCAGGGATAAACAGAGCAACAAATTCAATAAAGGAAAATGTAGTTTTTAATACGAGCCATCACCGACGGGATTGGAATTTGGGGGGAGAAGGTGTAAATTTTGGGGCGTTTAATAAATATAGCGTCAAAACGTGGAGGTGGACAATTGGCGTTTAAGGAAAGTGGCAAGGCACGCGTTACTGTATAATAAATCTTGGCGGGGAATTAATAGAGGGAAACGAACGTTATTTTTGACGGCATTATCTCTGAGCCTACCCACGGGTCAACAACCTTTGTATAGAATTAGATAAATCTCAAGATAGTGGCGGTGAAAGCCAAGAAAATAGTGGAAATGGCGGCAGAAGCGACTTTCGGTTCTTCTTGGGCTTCTGGGGTATCGAAGGCCGGGTCTTCTTCGTCTTGAGCGGCAGCCTGGAATAATGTTCAAACTTTAGTTTTACGTAGAGAAACTTTTTGCGTTTTTTACTAGTCAGAATACCGTAATCAGCTATGTTTACGTATTACCTAGTCAAAGTTGAAGAAGCTTACCGTAGTCTGTGCCAATCCATTGTCAAGATCGTGCATGTCACTTCCAGCGGCTTCCGGCTTCTCTTCCGGAATTCGGTCAGGCGCTCCGGGCTTGCTTCGGGGACCCTCAGTCGGTTCCTGGAAATTGAGCTTGCTGAATGTCTTCTTCAAGTCATTTGAACACAATTTTTCGAATTTTAATTCTTACAGTTTCTCCTGGTTGCGCAGCCTTGTTAAAGCGGGCAAACCAAGTTAATAAATTAGTAAAACAAAGCCAAGCAAGCTTTATTGGTACGCTAGCACACATACTTCAGCCGCACACGTTGCCCCGGTCCAGCCGTCGTTGCACACACAGCGCCCACATTCACATTTGCCGTGGTCAGAGCAGAGGCGCTGAAGGGAGGGCTTGAGGAGACAGGGAGAGAGTGATTGGGGGAGAGCGAGAGAGAGAGGAGAGAGAGAGAGAGAGAGAGAGAGAGAGAGAGAGAGAGAAAGTGTAGTCAAGGTCCCAAGACAGCGTTTCAGAAAGTGAACTTTCGTGGCGTATTTAGGAGAGTCCAGAAAAACGAAAGAGAGAATGAGAGAGAATGGAGAGAGAGAGAGAGAGAGAGAGAGAGAGAGAGAAGAATCAGAGAATCAGATCATCGCTTACAGTCCCCTCGATACAAGTGACGGTCTGAGTGGTGCAGCTGCAGTCCTCCCTCGTCCATCCCTCCTCACATTGACAGACACCGCATTGGCACACGCCATGCCCGAAGCAAGTCTGCAGAAAGGGCACGGTCACAAAATTAGTAAGGAAGCTGGCACACGCACACTTTCACGTTGATCGGATTTGGTCATGTCACCAAACGAAATTTTTTAATATTTTTTCACCCAAAAAACGCGAATATTCCGGCAATATTACGAACCTGATTCGTCGGACCTCCCTTTGGGCACACGCCATTCTCGCACGAGCAGAATTTGCCGGTGGTCTGAAAACGAATTTCGTAAAGTTTTAGCCGCATTAACTAACCGTAGGATTTTCGCAAACACATTGTCCGCATTTGCATTCGCCATGTCCGCCACAGACCGGTGCGCCGGGGTATCTAAAAATCAGTGTTAATATTTTTACGGACTGGAAAGGTATCTAAAAATAGAGCATTTATATTTTTGGTTCTCGAAAAACTTCTTGAAATTCGAAAAAAATAAGAAGACGTACTCTCGGCACTTGTCGGTCAGCTCGGCATCCGAATCGACGTTGTAGAGCGAGAGTGGGCACTAAAAATATTTCTTGTCCTTAAGTTATGCGTTCAAACGCTTGATTTAGATGTTTATAAAGCACAGAAATCCAGCTTATAAGACGTTTTTAAGGGGACGATGAGTTCGAAACCCACATCACAATTGTGTCCCCCGCGGCCCTCTTGGCACTCGCACTTGCCGCATATGAGGTTGCCGTGGCTGTAGCACAGCGGGGAGTTCTTTTCCTATAAAAAACGTTTTATTATTTTTCCGTTAACCATTAAAGTGATAGTTCAAATTCAACAAGAACTTACAATCTGGTTAAACCGCTCGCACTCGCAGCCGCAAAGCGGGCTGACGTAGAGAGCTCCAATGGATCGAGCACCGTACGCTCCAACAGTGATCGGGATCGAGCCGGTCGAGCTTGAGCAAGCCGTCAGTTTTACCTTAAAATTAATTTGCATATTAAAATTCTAAGAAAGTTGATTATTGAGTATTCAAACTAAAAAGGATTTCGTGGTAATATTAAAAAAGCTTACCTTAGCGATAACGGAAAGTTCAGTTCCATCCGGCACCTTCTCGCACTTCTTCGCGCTCACTTTCTTGCTGTAATTAGGTATAATTTGTGCTGAAAAGTATTATACCCATGGCAGTCAATCACAAAATCGACTTGGACGCCGGTCCCGGAAAAGTTGGAGGTCATAATTTGGAAGTCCTTGATCTGGGCACCGCCCGACGTCTCCTTGTGCAGGAATTTGAAGGGAACGTCCATTGACTCGCCTGAAAAGTGATAGGTACTGGCTTTAACGTCTTGAAAGTAAAAACCCATTTCGGTTTTAATAAACATACCTTCCTTAATCTTCACTTCAACTTGTTGGGGGTACACTTGGACTGGCGAGTTCGATCGAGGATCGATGGACCGCAGGGCGATTGCCTAAAAACTGGGTATTAATTTTTACATAGTTATATATGATCAAGATAATTGGCTGCATAAAATTTGTTTTACAGGTTATAAGGTGTCAAAATTATCTTTTTGTTGCACTTTCTCGGCTTCAGGAGTTTCTCGGCATCTTTCTAGCGCCCTTTTTACTTGAATTTTGGTCTCAGTTCCGGTCAATTCAGAAAGTTATCACATCCGATAAGTTTTATTTCAAGTATTAATGTTAGATACAGAAGAACGTGGAAATACTGCTGAGCCTGGCCACTTTCCAAACTTTCGAAATCTGATAAAACCAAAGAGCGAATGAAGGTGTAAACGCGCTGAGGTATCGTCAAGCTCTTGGTAGCTTTTAATCATCTTTACTAATAGATTTTGATCACCGAATAAGAGCATAAATTATCTGATGAATAACTCCGTTTTTCTACAACATACCCTGGGATCAACCTTCATCTCCGTAACCGGTGAGTATACATATTGCTGATGGCAGACATCCGGCGTCAATTTCGACTTCAGTTGGCATCTTGATGAGAGTTTCGAATGCTATAAAATGACTTGTAAATCAATCTTTGTGTTTTCTTTCCATGCATTTGCAAAGCTCATCCCTGCCGCGATACCCGGGTAAGTTGGTGATTTTTCGAGCCCCGGGGAAAAATGGCAACACATGGGCCAAAGGGCTAGACGCCCTTGGGGCCTAAAAAGTGGAACCTATGGGGGCCATTTCCCGTTTTTATGGGTGACAGAGGTGTGTGGAGGAGGAGGAGGAGAGCAGAGGAATGGGATGGGTTGCAGGGCTGGATTAAGTACTGGGTGAAGGTGATCCGGGTATTTTAATTGAATGGAATACAAAAATTTCCTAATTTGGAAAAATTGTGACAGTAGAATCCCAAAAAATGTACAGGTCTTCCCCCTCCTCTTATCTCACTCCATCTCCCCGCTCTCACTCTCTGTCGCCTCCTCTCCCGCTTCTTCGCTCTCAATCCTTCACGCCTTAGTAGAACCGTGTATAATTGCGGCCCAACGCACCAAGTAATGGCTCTTAAAGGTACTGGCAAGGCATAGCTATGGATTTTTCAGCTATTTCCTAGGGGTACGCCACGTATCGTATCGTATGCGTATTGCGTGCGCGGTCGGATCTATAGAAAACATTAGCTAACAAAAAAAAGCCTTACCTATCTCCTTAAAACCGTGCGTTCTCTACACGCTCCCTTTAAAACACGCAACGCGCAACAACGCAGACCTTTTCAATCTCCAATTCGATGGGAAAGACGATAGACGCGTTGCGTGTCGCTTAACCGGGTAAATTTCCCGGAAATCCATAGTCATGAACCTATGGCCTTGCATTACATGTCCCTTTAGACCCGTTTTCCCTCTGGGTGCACCCGAGGTGCCCCCGAACGCGAAGGGGTTGTGGGTCCCGTGGGGCTCTCTGGGTTGGGGGCCTCTGACTCCTTTCCCCCCGCGAGGTGCGCTGGAGGGGGACATGGCGACCCCCCCTTTGTCAAGACTCCCGCGGTCTTAATTGCCCGACGACACTTGTCCTCCACCACTTTTTTCTAGCATTTCTTCTCGTCCTCCAAAAATTAATGATCATAGCAGGTGACCCTTGTAGAGACAAAAGCCACGACACGAACAAGTGGCCACCGATCTCCCGAAAAACCGATGGCCCTTTATTATCACCCTCTAGCACTCGGCATTACACAATGAGACCCCGCGAACTTTTTTGGCCAATTTTTTTCGGCGAGTGCCGCGTCGGGGGCCCATCAATTTGTGTGTGGGGATGTGGTGAACACACTGAATGCGGTGGGGATGGGAGAACGGCCCGGTTTTGACGGTGATTTATTGGTGGGGAGTGGAGGAGTTTGGGGTTGACACCCGCTAAGAAAATTAAACTCCGGTTTCGGAAGTTAAATATGCTTTTTAGGTAATTGAAAATGCCAAATACCTCAAAATTATTTTAGAAATTTTGTTATTTTTAAGGCGGCATCGAATTTTTGGCCTAATTCATCAAATTTCAAAATTGCGAAAATCGCACTAGCGTCGAGCCCCTTTTAAAGGTTTCTTGAAGGCCATTTCCAGATTATCGCCGTCTTTCTCTATGTCTGTATCCCGCTCTCTCTCTCTGTCTCTCTCTCTCTCTCTCTCTCTCTCTCTCTCTCGCTCTCTCTCTCTCTCTTGCTCTCTCTATATCTCTCCCTCTCTCTCGCCCTTTCTCGCTCTCTCTCACGCTCTCTTGCTCGCTCTCACTCTCTTCACGAAAAGTTCCATTCACATTCACAACCAAAATACCTCATGCCAAACCAAAAAATTGCATATTTTCCGTGGCAATATCGCAAATCATAAACCTTTCCAAAGCGCGGGTCTGGGTCAAAAAACTTAAGGCTTTCAGATGCGTTTGGACCTTTATATTCCCCAGATATTTCCACCTCTCTCGCAAAAGCCACGCCGGCGAGTGGTCAAGGTTCTCAAATGGGATCGGTTAGTTGCGGGAAAACGAGGTTAAAATTGTAACGAAAAACTTGACTTACGGGGTCTCGGCACCAGCCACAACTTGGGTGTTGCTTGATGCAGTCGCCACAGGAGGCGGATCCGGCTTTACAGAGGGCTTCAATATCTTCGCAGAGGGCTGAAAAAAAATAGATTGCACAAATTCATGAGTGCCTCGCGAGTGCGCCACTTAATTTCGCCAGTTAGCAAAATGCAAAATAGCTTTTGGCGGAAAGTTGTTTGAACTCGAATGGTCTTGCCAGGACCATAGTGCCGGACTAAACATATTTTTAGGGCAGGGAGTAACCATTAATTCCGCGAATATATCGCCAATTGTGCGTATAGCTAACGAGCTACGCACACTATCAGTATCCTGCAACTCCTTATCGGGAATTCCGATAAGAAATACTGCTGGATTACCCATTCCGGAATTTTGCGACGCTTGATTTTCGTGGTTTCTGAACCGAAAAGCGGAAAACTTGCTTAGAGCGTTTACAGAAAAAAATATTAATCAAATAGTCTTTTTAAACAAACAGGTCAAGATGAAGTAATCGATACAATTAAACAAGATCTTACCTAGTGGCGCTAACAGCAACAGCACAGGTAATATCCGGCGAATCATGGTGATTTCTGGAACGATTTCCTAACCTTAAATAAAGATAAATAAGTAATCGGATAAATTAAATTAAATAGGAGCGTCGGAAAACGTCAAACAAAACAATTAGAGTTTATAGGCAAAAAGTAGCGAAAAGAGGAAAAGAGGAGGGGCCCTTAAAATAGGCGTTGTTTACTTCTGGAACGCACCCTGGCTTTAGCAGGGCAAAATTGACGGCGGTGCTTAGCAAATGGAAAAGAAAGAAAAGGAGGGAAAGAACTAAACGCAAGTGACATCAATGGAGTCAAGAAAGCCGAGAAACAGGTTAAAATATAATTTATTGCCATCATTAGACTGAATGAGGTCTGAGAACAACGATTTGCAGTGTATAGCAGAGTCTATAAAATGGCTACAAATCTTTTCTGCAAAGGCTGCAAAAATGGCAGCCTTAGTCTAATAATAAAAATAATTTACAATTAAGCCAAAAAAAGCCAAATACTAAAAAATTGAGAAGGAAAGCGATTCGGCGCCAAGCGGTGGGTGCTGGTGGGTGCTCCCGCAAAAACAAAGAATGCTGAGATTTAGAATCCTCTCAAAGGGCTATTAATGCGTAAAACCCCATTTCAAGAAGCCACAGAAACCCTGTAGGTGATAATTCGTTTACCACTACCCAAGCCAAGGAGTACCGGTCAGCACTATCCCCGATTTTTTCGACTTGGAAATCCGATCGGGCTTCGGGGGCTTCAGGGCTCATTTCTTCTCCCCCACCACACCCGCTAACTACCCCGAAAACAAACACCTTTTTGTACGGATTACAACTCGGAACGACGGTCGGTGGCTGGAAATGAGGACGGACGGGTTATGCGTTCCGGTTAGGAGGAAGGGGATATGGGTCGGCAAAAAGGCTTCAGGGCTTTGGAACAATGAAAATTGTCCCTTCGGAATTCAAAATCAGAAAAGTTTCAAAAAGCAAGAAAGATAAGGGTACGTCGAAGGAAATGCCGGGAAAGAAATACGTCAAAATTCACCGGTATGGGCATATAATTTCTTGGAAAAAGCTAGCCTAATATTTCGCCGGCTACGCTTTACCTTACCCCCCCCCCCCAGCCGAAAGTTTTTGGCTATAGCTTTTTTATTTGACATTATGGTAGGCTCAAATTAGAACTCTTCGTATATTTTTTCGGCGCTCTATCGAATGGCGTTGCAAAAATGCCGACAAAATAAGCGAGAATACCGAAAACTTTGAGACCCTTCGGCTGTGGGGGCAGGGTGGGGGTAAAGTAAAGCCTTGCCATTTTGCCTAAAATTCGAGATTTAGCCGACGAAAGGGTCGATTCGGTTATTCGTCCCTTTAACTAGACTTCCCAACGCCTTTAAAATAATTGGTAACAGAAAACAACCTGGCGAAGGTCTTCACGATCCCGCTCTAGCTGAAGTTGCCAACAGTCTACACGAATTTTACAAATTACCAATTTGAAATTAATGGGTCCTTTAAAAACGTTTAAAACAGCATTTTTAGAACACCTAGTATTCGAAAGGGTCGATTTGGTTGTTCGGAACATTAATTAGATTTCAATGAAGCTTTTAAAAGGCCAAAGGCGACGTATCAATCGCCAAACTCATAAAAATCTGCACGTTTTTGACTTCGGTGGGCCTTTAGCAGAGCCTTGGATTACATTTTTGGATCAAAGCCAAGTCTATTGTGTAATCAGACATGGTAAAAGATGCCCCGGATTGTGCAGTTGGTGTGGACAGGGAGATCCGGTGACCTATCTTCCCACCCCTATTTTACACCCCGAGGATGTGGTGGTGTATGTGTGGGGTGCCGAAAAACATTGGCAGTGGTGGGGTGGGTGGTGGCTGCGCGACGCCGGTACCCCCTACCCAGGGCGGGGTGTTCTTTGAAGCGTCGTGGAGTTGGGGAGGGCCAATGGAGAGAGAGAGAGAGAGAGAGAGAGAGAGAGAGAGAGTGGTGTAATCCATAAAGGCCACATGAGAAGAAGCCCCGATCCGATCGCCAAAGCCGAAATGTTTCCAATAAAACTCGTGTATCGTCGGGTGAGGACGGGCGACAACAAAAGACGCCCCTTGGAAACAGGAGGGAATGATCAGGGGAGTGCAACTGGGCTTTAAAGGGACTGGGAAGGCAAAATCCATAGGGCAAAATTGTTCAAAACATCAAAAGGAAGTCGGAGTTTTCTCGTCGCGTCAGACTTTGGAGAAAATATTATAAGATTTAGTTTTCTTGAAACTGACGGGTTGATTGAAAAGGCTCATAAATTTCTACCGTAACTCAAATAAAAATTTAAAACCTTGCTAAATGATTAGAAAATCGTCTCTCTATTAAAAAATTGGATAGCTTTTTAGACCAGAAAATTAGCTACGAGATACACCAAAAAACAGCGGAGCGAGCGATCCGACCTGAGGACAAAAACGGCACGCACTCAAAAAAGATATTCCAGGCCTGGGAACCTAAAAAGACCCCGATCGCGATCCGGAAGGAACCTCGCGGTTGTTACCTTGCCCCGTCCGCTTCGTCCTAAAAAGTTTAGGTTGCTTTTTGTCAAAGCCCTAGGTTTATATGGGATGTGGAAGAGCAGCTGGTTCAGGCGGCTTTAAAGACCGCTAGAACCTGAAAGCGGGACCTGGCTTAACCTAGACAAGTTTAACGAGTCCAAAAAATCTACTTGATGCTCCGAATTGATGGCTTGGATTTTCGAGGTACAAACTGAAGCCTGAATCCTCAGAGAGGACTAGAATTAAGTGAGAAGAGAAAGCGCTATTCAGATCAATTTTTCCCTGCAAAATCTGCAGTTTTGAGATCATATTTCATGGTTCCGTTCCGAGAATGCGAACGGATTTCCGAAATTTTTCTTAGAAATTTGAGCTGCTTTTCGAAGAAAGAAAAAGTCGGGAAGTCCCAATTGATGAATCAAAAAGTTTTTCAATAAATAATTGAATAGATACAACAAAATAGGTAAATGTTATAAAAATAATAAAATTAATTCAGATAAAAAACGGCGAAATCGATTTTGGCAAGAAAGTACGTTTGTCGACAGAGCAGCATTAAACTCCAAAAACCCATTCGGCAAAACACATTGTCACCTTAAAGGGATCGTGAAGACAAGATTTTTTGTCCGGATCTTCTAACTCGAGCTACAGTAACACTCTCAATTATCCATGGATTCCAGAAGGTATCAATCGATACTCTAAAGCTTCTACCCAAACCCTACCCAAGCGCAGCCATAGACAACGAATGTTACAGTATCAGCTGCTCCTGGTAGGGGTTAGAGGGAGAGAGAGAAGGAAGAGAGAGAGAGAGAGAAGAGAGAGAGACCGAGACAGAGAGGGTGGTGGCAAATGGTGGGATAGAGGAGCGATATAGGGGTCAAAGTGAAGGCATCTGTTGGCCCCGCGGGTTGCGCATCCCCTCCTCGATTGGGATTGGGGGCCCTTGGGCCTCTAGGGTATCAAATAGTGAAGAGAGATTCGAAGGGTACAACTGCTCACTCTAGAGGGGAGAGACTGTCTCTTAGAGATCGATGAGGGGTCACTCATTCAACTTCAAACTAGCTCGCACTCTAGCTCTAACACCCAATCACACTAATCAAGCATGGAGAGTGAATTGTGATTTAAAGGTCTGAGCTTGATTTAAAGTATTTAAAGGTCTCTGGAATGATGGAGAGGGGGAGGGAGAGAGAAAGAGGGGCAGAGAGAGAGAGATGGAGGGAAGGCAGAGAGAACGACAGTGAGAGTGTGATACCGAGGTACCAAACGCTTCAAAAGATTTAATAAATCAAAATTCTGCAAAAAACATAGTAAAAATCGGAAAGTGGGCGAGCAAAAGATAGCGAGAGAGAGCGAGAGAGAGAAAGAGAGGGAGAGAGAGGGAGGAGAGAGAGAGAGGAGAGAGGAGAGAGAGAGAGAGAGAGAGAGAGAGAGAGAGAGAGAGAGAGAGAGAGAGCGCGAGTGCGCGAGAGTCGATGAGTGGAGGAGTGAGAGCGGATACTAAACGCAAAAAAAATCTAAAAATCAAAATTCGGCAAACAGCTTAGAAGCTGGGAGAGAGAATGAGAGAGTGAGAGATAACTGCTGAGAAATTATCGATTGTCCAATCCCATCCCCAGCTGATGTTGAGGATGTCCAAATCAACAACTTGGCCCAACTCCATCCCCCTCCTTGGCCCATCCCCCTTAGCGCCAGAAGTCTGTTGCCGGTAATTTGAGTACTGGCCAATACAGTCAGTGGTGTTCGGGGTAATCTGGCGTAGTCTGTCTGCTGGGGTTGGTGGGTGACGGTGTGACCGGGTGAAGCATGCCCTTCACCTACTCTACCCATTCCCGAGTACCTCGGGCATGGAGTAAGGGTGGTAGTGGGGTACGACTTTTACCTAAGGATCATCGGGGCCTGGAAGTTATGGTATAATGGGCATAGAAATAGAAATTGACTGCATATCAGATCGCTATGCAGATCGGCATAAAATATTTTAGCCTTCCTATACACCAAGGGCTTATCCAAGCCAGAGTGCTAAAAAAAAGGAAAAGGAAAGTCAGTCACTGGCCGTTTAGGGGAGGGGCAATGGCCCGAGGCGATACGCTCATTGTGCGGGGGACTGGCATCAGGAACTGGATATAACTTGGAGGAGCTGCATAAAATGGTTTCCTATGGGTCAGTGTCTCTAGATTTTCTCAAATGATCTCTGCTAGCTAACCTCACCTCGCCAAATCTGGCTACACAACTGGATCGGAATTTTTTGCATAGGATTTGAGGGTTTTCCGGAAGTCTTGCCTATTTCGGTATTCTTGAATTGCTTGCAAAAAGAATCGCTGCTAACACCCCTGTAAGTGCGCACATCTTGAAAGGGGGGTCTGATTTGAAGGTTCAAAGTTTTCAACAGAAGCTCTCTAGCCTGCCCTCAGCCTCCTCGTTCCCAAAGGATCTCTGCTAGCTTGCCCGTAAATCCGAGAAGACGAAATTAAAATCTACGAATTTTAATAAAAAAGGTAGGAAAACAGCTTCAAGATCTA